TTTGGAACCCCCGGACCACTCACAATCAAAGGCACTCTGGTGTCAGCTTCGTAGGGCTGGCGTTTGTCCCAGGGTTGGCCAAACTGACCTGACAACAAATTTGGAGCAAGTGTGTCATTTCATAGTAACATAGGATATGCAGGTACTTACCTATATGAAAACCGTTGTCCGAATTGATTATGACGTAGGTTTTATGAAAGATTTTTAGTTTTTTTAATTGTAAAACTATTCTTTCGATCATATCGTCGACGGCTAAAAGAGTTTGCAAACGTCTTCTTTGAATGTTATCCAGAATAGTGATATTGGTGGGTAGTCTACGTGGAGGCATTTTTAGTAGCCAATGTTTCTGTAAAAAATTGAAGTCAAGTAAAAATTAAATATCACTGATGGGTAGAGATGTTGAAAAAAAAACTACTCGTTACTCATCGATACCCGAAGTAACGAGTACCGAATTTAAAACCATATCGTTACTTTGATTACTATTATTACTTATAGTATTTAGCATTTATCATGAGTCGTACTTATACGTAATATGTATAGTATTGCATTTTAAAAATGTTATCAAATGCGAACTCTATAAAAACACAATGGTCGTATTACAGTGTCTAAGGTATTTGGCAAATACGACTATTATATTTTCATAGAACACGCATTTGATTGCATTTACGATACAATACTAAGCATATTAGGTATACGTATAAGTACGATACAATAAACGAAATAATGATAAATACTATAAAAAGTTAAACTTCCACCCCTATTTTTGTTCACCCCCTTACCCTTAAAGGTCGAATTTACGAAAATTGCTTCGTAGTATTTAATTACGATTTAATTTATCATGGGTCGGTATTTACACGTATATCTAAGACGTATAATTGTAAATGTAATCAAATGCGAATTCTGTGAAAATATAATAATAATAATGATAATAATAATGCACAGCCGAAACTGCTCGACATAGAAACACGAAATTTGGCAAATGAGTTCCTTAAGTGACGTATGTGAGCACTAAGAAGGGATTTTTGGAAATTCGGCCGCTAAGGGGTAAAAATTAGGGGGTTAATATTGTAGGTATAAAAAATTTAAAATCTGTATGAGTATGAAATTTTGCAGGGACGCTCCTTGGGTGGCGTAAATAAGCTCTACTCTGAGGGAATGAAATTAGGGGGTTAATTTGTAGGTATAAAAGTTTTGTCCTAGATATAAATCTGTCCTATAATGCACAGCCGAAACTGCTTGACATAGAAACACGAAATTTGGCAAATGTATTACTTAAGTGATGTAAGTGAGCACTAAGAAGGGATTTTTGGAAATTCGGTCGCTAAGGGGTCGAAATTAGGGATAGAAGGTTGCATAAAAAGTTGTTAGAATCTGTTCTAGGAGTACGAAATTTTGCACAGAGGTCTCTTAAGCGGCATAATTGAACACTAAGAAGCGATTTTCGAAAATTCTTTAAGGGGGTGAAACTACCGAAACTAGGGGTGGAAGTTTGTAGATTTTTTTAAATTTGTCGTAGGAGTATAAAATTTTGCACAGAGATTGTGGCGAAAGTGGATACTCGATTTTTGGAAATTTATACCCTACGAGGGTAAAGTTAGGGGTAAAAGTTTGTACAAAAATTTATTAAAATCGCTTCATAAATGCTAAAATGTCATACTTTTACATTTTGCACAGAGGTTTCTTAGGTGACGTAATTGAGCACTGAGGAGCTATTTCTGGAAATTCACACATAAATAAGGGGGTAAAACTAGTTGCGAAATTTTGTTTATATATTTGTTTAAATTAGTCCTAGGGATATAATATTTTGTATAGAGGTTTCTTAAGTCACGAAAGTGAGTACTTAGAAGCGATTTTTTTGGAAACTCACCTCCTAAGAGGGTGAAATAAGGGGTGAAAGTTGTCTCAAAAATTTGTTTAAATAGGTTTTAGAAGTATGAAATTTTGCGTAGAAGTTCCTTAGGCAACGTAAATTGAAAAACGTGGGTACTAAGAATCTATTTTTCAAAATATGTCCCTTAAGCAGGTGAAATTAGACACAAAGGTTGGCAGCAGTTGACAAAATTGACAGCAATACCAAAATCAGTAAAAAGTAATCATAATAATCAAAGTAACGGATATTTGAAATTACTTAGTATTCGAGTAACGATTAGTAATGAGTAATCAAAAGTAACGAAGATCAACATCACTACTGATAGTACTGATTGGCCTGATGGAAGACAAAATATTAACTATAGTCTGTCCAACGAGAGGATTTATGACATTAACAGTTATGTGTGTCATTTTAATTGATAGGAAAATTTATTTTCTGTCATTTTTTGTCGTCTGTAGTAATTTTCTCTGACCCTGGCTGGTTGGACAAACTTTATACAGAGTGCGACAATAGTGCGTCGGACATTTATAGTTCCTACGTAGAATAAAAAAACTTGCGAATTTGGTTTAAGTGCAAACCTATGTACGAGGATATATTTCAGGAAAATATTTTAACTTCTATAGGGTGGCTGAAAAAAGTATGAGTGAATCGGGATGATTTTTTTTTTAATGGAAGACTTTATGTATTATAGCATTTTTGGATTCCTTTCTGATCACTTTACATAATCCTAAGAAATGAGTAAATATATTTTTATCCACGACTCGCCTTTAATTTGATTATTACACATGAGTTTATGAAATAATAATAATATTCATTATTCACTAGTGAATAATGGTTTCATTATTCACCGCTTCCACGGATGTCTCGATCCAAACTCCAAACAAGAGCTGTGCTCGATCCAAACCGGCTTGGGATGCGATTGTACGCACAAAATAAAAAACAAAGGTGGCTATGAAAGCAGTGAAATGCCACGTCACGTTGCGTTGTCGCGCTGTTGTGGATATCTTTTTGACATTAAAAATAAAAACTTATATTAATATTATCTAAATTTTTTTGATAGTCCTGGATAAAGTATAGTCACAGATTATACACATTATAAACTTTGTTTTTTCTTTATTGTTTTTCGTGGTTCCAATTTTCGGAATCGGGCACTAGTTAGGTTACTAGTTTGCGCACATAGCACGCCCACTTATGACCTCTAAAATTGTGCACAGCGCCTGACCGGCACAGTTATTAGAGAGATATCGGAAAACCGAATAACGTCATGCAGTATTTACGCGTACCTTATCATGGTTACGATATGCGCGAGTCAATTTTTAACGCAACACCCGCTAATAAAGTTACCGCCTGACGTAATTTGCGGATCAATTACACCAGGCGCTATTTCTAAATAACAAAAAAAAATTAAAAATTGCTTAAATGGGCATGTGCGGGTATTTGACAACCGGGGCCGGCCGGCGAGATCTTTTATTTTAGGTTATGTTGAATTGTTTTGAATTATTACTTTAGTTTTATTAGGTAATTTAATATTTAATTAGCTGGGATTAGTTTTAATTAAATAAATATGGCCCAAAATATGGATTCCACCTCTTCCAATATTAAAGAACCTATAAAGAGGCTTAGGTTTACAGCAGATGACGACTTAGCCCTTCTAGGAGAATTTGTTGCTTGTTGCCCTAAACCCACTGGCAGACGTTGAACAATAAAGCACTGGAAATAAGCACTTTAGCCCTTTAGTTTTAAAATACCTAGTAAACAAAACAATTTCAAAGTTTTAAATTCAAAGTCAGGTTAAGTTTAAATAGCGGACGCGACGCGAACAGAATTCTTTCCGATCCGATAACTATAAATGAAAAGAGTTAATACCACCCCACGTAAAGGAAATAACACCTGGCCTTATTAACGTCCATGCACACGCTATTCGGTTTAGCGATATCTCTTTATTACGATGTTTATTGTTATTTTACGCGAGTTTATTTTTGCGCACAGAAAATTTTACTCGCTTGCACATCGTCATAAAAAACAATTTTCGCATCACGAATTACGGATAATATTTTTATCTGTATACATATAGTATACCTAATCTGTGGTATAGTATTCTACTCGCATATAATGGCTGTTATTCACTTGGATGATTTATGAATAATACAAACTTCATCCGCGTGAATAACAGCCACCATTATATGCTCGTTGAATAATATACTATTATACTACCAGAGATATTAATAAATAAATAAAAATATATGTTTTTCAATTTTCCTTAAAAAATTATTACAGATACAAGAACCTGTCCTGAAATCAAAACTATATTAGGTATTTACTTTAGACTATTTACTTTGCTATAAATATTGTAATCTTAAATCGTACAGGGTGTTCAAAATTCTAACTTAATAAAATAGTTTTTTTTAACAACTGTATATTATTTTTCTATTAGATGGAGAATTAAAAAATAAACATTTTTTGTATTTAAAATAATTCAAAATGTTTAATGGTTTCACAGATACACGCAGTATTATTTCATATGGCTCCTTTCAACAGTAAAATACGAGAGAAAAAATATTAAGGGCTGTGATAAAAATTTACTGTGGAAAATGCCATATACTACCGCGAATATCTGCGAAACCGTTAAAAATTATGAAATACTCTAAATACAAAAACTGTTCCTTTTTTAATTCTTGGTCTATTGAAAAAATAATACACAGGTTATTCCATTAAAAAAAACTTTTATATTTTAGCAAGTTTGACAGTTCTTGAATTTTTAATAATTTTTTAAAAAAGGCTCAAAAATATATTTTTTTTTATTTATTTAATATCCCTAAAACTATCGAAATACATATATTTACTCATATCTTAGGACTATGTAAAGTGATCTGAAAGGAACCCAAAAATGCAATAATATACAGGGTGTTCAATTTAAAAAAATCATCCCGATCCACTCACACTTTTTTGAGCTGCACTATAGAAGTTAAAATATTTTCCTGAAATACATCCTAGTACATACTTTAGGTTTGCACCTAAACAAAATTCCCAAGTTTTTTTATTCAAGGAGCTACAGATGCCAGATGCACTATTGCCAGACTCTGTAAAGGGTGAGTCAAATTCGACGCTTTTAAAGGGAAACACCCTTTTCTATAATAGGAGATAGACGAAAACTAATATCGGTGTCTGGAGCTCAATTTTTATCAAAAGCATGATGGTAAAAACTGCACATAAGGCTGTAACTTTTTTGCTAGGTATGGAAAATTTTCTATTTTTATGAAAAGATTTCCAAAGCGCCTTGTTACGTCCACAGAAAAAAATATTTATTATTTGAAACGCCCTGTACATTTTTAATTAAATGAAAAGAACTTAAAATTACCTTTCCAAAAATATAGCACCACTTGATATTTTGTTATAATCCCCTTCGAAATACGGAATTTTTAAAAGTTCGCTACTTTTAACTAGTAGGCCGTGGACGCCTTATTGATAATCTGCCCTTAACGGAACTAGAAAACATATTTTCGAGCAAGACGAGGCACCGCCTCAGAACGCCGATTATCAGCTAACTTTTGCAGCTAATTTCGTGAATAATTGATTAGCTAACCAAGATCCCAGCCGTTGGCCGTCGAGGCCGCCGGACTTAGTGTCTATGGATTTTTATCTTTGCGAAAGAATAAAGGTTCTTTTTTTTTAAATTACCTAATCTAGACAAGAATTAGAAGTACTTAGCGGTTATGTGAAGGTATCTTTCACCCACATTGAGTTAATGAATTCCGCGAGAAATGTTCAAAAACGGTCCCGTCTGTCAATAACAGAAGACGGTCGACATGTCGAACACCTGTAGCAAAATCTCATGTTTTGGTTTGCTATTAATTTTCATTATTATTAGATATAGTTTAAATGTGTTGATGTTGTTAAATATAGTTTAAATTGTTATAAAATTCTAAATCTCTCATTGCAAATATTATTTTCGTTTTAATTGCTGCTCAGAACTGCGATTTTTTTTGCATTACAGCCGACACGGTTCAAAGCCTACTTATTCAAAGTGGACGAATTTTTAAAAACTATATATATCGAAGAGGAATCGAGCAAAATATCAAGTGTGTTATATTTTTGCAAAGGTAATTTTAAATTATTTTCAATGAATTAAAAATATACAGGGTGTCCAACATAAAAAATCAAATTTTCTGTTGATAATTCTTAAATTATTAATTATAAAAATATACTTAAACCATTAAATTCTACGTAAAAAGGTACTTTGAAAATGTTTTCATAAAAATACAACATTTTCCATACCAAAAAAGTTATAGTGATTTGTTAAAAATGCACATTTTTTAAAAACACCCCGTAACTCATAAACGGTAACAGATATTGACGTGCGGTTTTCACCATCATGTTTTTGATAAAAATTGAGCTTCAGACACAGACATTAGTTTTCGTCTATCTCCTATAGAAAAGGGTGTTTCCCTTTAAAAGCGTCGAATTTGATCCACCCTGTACATAGTTTTAAGAGTTTAAATGATAAATACGATTGGAACTTACATTAGTTGGTGTATAGTTGAAAGAAGGGTTAGTCACAACACCAACAGTTGGAAACTTATTGATATACCTCTTGGGAGGTATAAACGGTGCATGACTAGCAGGTGGAGCTACCATCATGAAAAATGGCTTGTCAACTATTGACTTTTGATTTAAAAAACTCAAACTGTAATTGGCCTACAAAATTAGATATTGGTTTTATTAAAGCAATGGAGTTCCGAGATTTCTGAATAAATCTAGTTTTAGAATATTTTATATAAAAAGTATCTTGTTCTCTTATATGATACAACTTTCCATTATCATTGACTCGCCCTGTATATTAAATGAATGACGGTAAACTACTACAAAACAATGTAATTAATCAATTTTTAATCTATTAATTTTATACAAGGTTCGGCAATAGTGCATCAGGCACCTGTAGCTCCTATAATAACAAACTTAGAAATGTTGTATAAGAGCAAACCTATAGTATGTATTAGGATATCTTTCAGGAAAATATTTTAACTTCTACGGTGACTCAAAAAAGTGTGAGTAGATCGAGATGATTTTTTTTAATTTAAACACCCTGTATATTAGTGCATTTTTGGCTTCCTTTCTGATCACTTTACATAATCCTAAGATGATAAGACAGAGAGCCAAAAATGCCTTAATATACAGGGGTCTTTGATTTTAAAAAAATCATTGCGATCCACTCACACTTTTGTGAGCAACCCTGTAGCAGTTAAAATATTTTCCAGAAATACATCCTAATACATACTTTAGGTCGGCACACAATTTTTTTTATTATAGGAGCAACAGAGACCCGATGCGCTATTGCCGGACCCTGTATATGAAATCAAATTACTTCAAATCCAATAATAAATTTAAATTTAGTTAAAAATGATAATAGGACGTCATTAAATAAAAAGAACTCGTAACCAAATAATCTAAAATTAAATAGTAATAAAAATAAAATAAATATATGGCTATAAGATTCTAGAGATAAACATTTATTACAAGTAGCCAGAAAATATAAATACCAGTTCTTAATACCAGTTATGACTCATAAAGTGTTTATTAGCTATTAAAATAAAAATGTATACCAATAAATCAGTTAAGTACAAATTCCTTATGGGTAAGGTGGTACCATTTACTGATAAAGTATAGTTGTAATACTTGGAATTTCCTTTTAATCCTATCCACCAATCATAACCTTTAGGTACATGGCCAGTACCACCAGCAAATTTAGAACCATACTAAAAATTAAACAAAGCGTTAATATTAAGATACAACAAAATCTTAATATAGTATACTTGGTTTAAGTACTTTCCAGCATAAAATGTAGTATAATTAGCTTTATTTTTTAAAATAGCTGCTACTGAATATGGTTCAAAATGACGTTGCCAAAATTCACTCGAGCAATTTCCTGACAGAGAATTATTGACTACTCCCAAATTGTGCGGATACATTCCTGTCAATATAGTACTTCTGCTTGGACAACATAAAGGTGTATTCACAAACTGAAAATAATATTATTTCATAATTTTTAGAAGTTCCGATTCTAGAGATCAAAATTTCTATTGAAAAGAAATGTTAAGTATCTTACCGCATTTAAAAAGAACTTGCCCTTATCAGCTATAAGACTTAAGGATTTCTTCATTGCCATCTAAAATGTTTACAGATATAGAATATGTAGGTAAATATATTGTTAGACTTTTTGTAGTTGTACTTACCAACCCATTTAACATTAAATCCTGATCATCAGTTAAAATATATATAAAATTTGGAGAAACACGATCACTATAAATGCATTTTTGAAAAGTAAGAAAGAACACTAATGTTCTTGTTAATATAATAAAAACACTTTTAGCCATATTGGTGAACACCTTTAATTTAAACTACATAGAATATTTACAATAAAACTACATTAACTTTAAGACTGCGACGGTACAAGTTCAATTCCCTGGCATTCTTGAGCTATTCTTATCCCAAGAGCGAATATTCCAATGCTTTTTACTAAAGCCCTACACAAAAAAATCAATCTTACTTAACCTTACTTAATAGTTGTTTTCTCTTACATACCACTTAAATTCGTCGTAGTAAAGTCCTTTAATAAATGATACAATTCCACCTTGTTTGGTCATTTTAGGATGTTGATGTTTTTATATTATTCTTGTGAAGAAATTAAAAGGCTTCAATTTTTTACAAAAAGGCCTTTTTGGAATAAATTTGCAGCAAAATTAATGCCGGAAATCAGCTGGCGACATCTATCGGTCGATGCGTAAATCAAAATATAGAGAGGTAAACATAAAATTAATCACATCAGTGACCTCTTAAGCCGGCATTTTAAATTAAAATATTGGCTTCCTTCTTGTTTTGTGAGTTTGCTCGTGCTGAAGAATTTTGGGTTGGTTTGGACCTGTGGTTTGGACTTTTTCCCTTGCTTTTTTAACAATTATTCTTGGTGATTCTTTTTGTGCGATTTTTTAATATTCTAATATCGAGGTACGTTAAGCATATCACGAATGTAGGATTGAACAGTTGCACTCTCTTACAACTGAGTTTATAGCATTACAAAGTGTTGTTTTTTTAGCCCAAAATGAGTAAAAGAAGTAGCCCTGTCCCACCACCAGCGGAACCTGTTGTTCCAGCTCCCGAGGAATATGTCGTAGAGAAAATCATTGATAGTAGAATTAACGACCATGGGATAAAAGAATACTATTTAAAATGGATTGGCTATGATGATAAAGATAATACATGGGAACCCGAGGAAAACTTGGATTGCCCTGGATTAATTGCGGCTTACGAAGCTGAAAAGGCGAAAAAGCCAAAGGAGCCTGAAGCAAAAAGGAAACAAAGTTCAGAAAGTGAAACAAAGGTTACTAAACGAAGAAAAACTGATGAGAAAAAGAGTTTGGGTTTTGATAGGGGTTTGGAACCCGATACAATTATTGGAGCCACAGATAGTCCAGGTAATAAATTAATCAAATATTTACAAAATCAGTAGAACTATTTAAAAGATATGTAGAGGAAAAAACATACATCTACCTAAATCAGTTTATTTTAGTTCTTTGTTTTTTTTTATACAATGTGATAATACAATACAATAGCAGGTTTGATCAAAAAATGTTTGTGCATTATTTAAGTTTATAACATTGATGTTTAATTTTGATAACAAGAGTTATTTGTTTCAGGCCAACTAATGTTTTTAATGAAGTGGCACGGTACAGATGAGGCTGATCTTGTCCCAGCAAAACAGGCCAATATTAAATGTCCACAAGTTGTCATCAAGTTTTATGAAGGACGACTCAAATGGCACCCACCCCCGCAAAACAGAATTGAAAATAAAGAAAATTAAAATACTGATGGCTAATTAAAATTGTGAAAATAATTTTCTATTTTCTCTTTTCCAGTATAGTTTTGTGTGTTTAATATTATTTTTCAACATTACTTATGTGTAATATTATTCTCCGTGTAATATTTTTTTTAATATTCTATAATAAATCATTTTATAAGATTTTATCCTTATACTTAGTCTTGATAATAATTCTGATAAAAAAGAATGTTGAATAATGTGGCACATAAATCGTGTTAACGTGGTTTCTATTTACGATATTTTTAGATTTATGTTTAATTATAAGTTATAAGTAAGAAATTCAACAAAATTGTAAATTTTTGTAAAAAAAATAAGACAAAAATAAAGCTAAATTTTAGTTTGTTTCTAGAATATTTTTTTCTTGTTCGTAATATACAATAAATGCCTATTTATTTATTTTAAGTTGTACTCTGGTTTTAATTCAATCATGCATTAAAATTCAGTATATTTCAAAAGTGGTGATTTTTCCTGATTTTGATTGGCTACATTTGTTTTTTTTCGCCATTCCTCATCGATCATATTTTATCATATATAATTTATATAGATTTTTATTCTGTGGAGAGGTCAGACGTCAGACATTATCATTGTTCTGTGGCTATCAATCATATATCAATATCTCTCCATCTCCATATTGATTTTCCCGCTGAATTTGTCGGCGTTTGGTTTACCAAACAACAAATATAAAAAATGACTTCCAAAAAAACTTCGTCAAGTCCAGATTCTGAGGAACCTACAGAAGAATATGTTGTTGAGAAAATAATCGATTGTCGAATTAAAAACGGAGTAAAAGAATATTTATTAAAGTGGATAGGTTATGACGACAAAGATAATACTTGGGAACCCGAAAGTAAGTTGTTTTTGTTAGTAAACAACTCATCAAATTCGTCTTTTATGCCTATTTGCTTATGTGTTATTATTGGCGATATGGTTCATTTTAGGCAATTTAGATTGTCCTAGTTTAATAAAAGCTTTTGAAACCGATAGAGCAACTAAAGAAGCTGAAAGAAACAAGAAACGAAAGAGTACTAGCACTCCCACGCCTGAATCAAAACCAGTAAAAAAGGGAAAAGTAGAAGAAAAGAAGTTACACGGTTTCGATAGGGGTTTGGAACCAGAAAAAATAATTGGTGCTACAGATAGTTCTGGTAGAATAATTCTTGTTTGTTCATAAACAAAGCTATGTTCTTTTTTTCAATTTCAGGTCCTTTAATGTTTCTAATGAAATGGGTTGGCACTGACGAGGCAGATCTAGTACCTGCTAAACAAGCTAACGTAAAATGTCCTCAGGTTGTGATCAAATTCTATGAAGAACGACTGTCATGGACTTCACCTAATATAGGGTCTGAAGAGAAGAATTGATAAGATTTTTAAATATTCACGTTCGCTCAAATGATAGTTTTAATCTGTTTAATGTGTAAAATATAGTGCTGGCTGATATTTTTTAAGTCAACAAATTTTATTCTTTTTTTGTATGTCAGTCATTTTATTCTAAATAAAATTTGTTATTGTAAAACTGGTATGATACCATTTAATTGTGTCATGTATGTAACTTTTTATAATTTTATGAATTTTCTAAGTAGATATACTGTAGGAACCTGACTGACTTCTTTTTATTATTAACGGTTTAATAAAAAGCCAAGTTCTTACTTAAATATGTTTTTTTATTTTGCAACTAAAATTAGAAAGTACAATCATCATAACCCTACAAAGTACTCTAAAATGTAAATGCACTATTTAGACGTTAACAGGTTTCCCAGTTTTTCACAAAACAAAAATTGACTTATTACAATAATAAAAAAGCTTTTTTGTTAACCCTTTTTAATGCCCTGCATGAAAATACAATTTTCCAACTACCTCAAAAAAATATACCATTTGATAGTCAGCGTCAAAAAGTTACAGATTACAGTTATGCCTGATTTACAGTTGCAAAAAAATGTTTAACTTGAGTACAGGTATGATGAAGAAACCAGAAAAAAACTAGATCGTCAGAGTTAGTTTGGAAATCTCATTTTATGTATAAAATTATGAGTGCCATCAACTGTCATTTCCAAGGCAATTTGACGCGAAGTTTTGCAATATAAATCCGGCTTTAAAAGTTTGGAAATAAATTTAAATATTTTTATATATCACAACTGTGCAGTTTTATTAATACTTAATTTTACATTAAATTTTTCGTCTCAATAAAATGCGCCTTTAATATAACTGCACATACTCGTGATTATGATGTTTTAAGGTAATTTTATATATTTTATTAAGCGACAACAGTGCTGAGGGTCTTGAAATAAAATACGAAACAAACAATTCTAAAGAAGCTTTTTTACCAACTTACGGCTGTTGAAGGAACTGTTACTTACGTGAACTCTTAAAAATAATATAAAATACACCACATTGTATATCACCTCCTTGTTATAGCCACTCTAGCTTTAAAACTAGAAAAAATATACAAATAGTGAGAAATTCATAATTCACCTTTTTCTTATAAAATTCTGAACATGTACAAGAAAACAAGTACCTTCAATATTTTGTTAGTACCTATTTACACTGATATTTTAGGGGTTGCATAATGAAAAATAGTTGTATTTTTTTTATTTAAACACATTAAAAGAGTTATTATAACTTTTTTAATTGTCTTTTTTACATTACTAATTTATTGATTAAAAGAAATAAATAAACGTGAACATTTTTTATTACAAGAAAAATCTTCAAACAGCATAAAATTAGACAGAACTTCTATATCATCCGACTAGTAAATATACAACTACCGCCTGATTATAAAGAAATAAAATTAAGTTCAATACGAAATCGTGTTTTAATTTCAAATGTTCTAATTTTATGTCAGTAAAACAAAAATCTGACACGAGATATCAGTTGAAATCAAAACGTGACTTTGTAGCTCACGAAAAATATTTCTTTATGATCAAACAGTACGCTTTATTAATGATAAAACAAAAAACGAATATTAAGGAGTTATTTGCACTTGATTTACATGCTCTAATATTACTTTCTCATTAAAAAGTATTATAAAAACTCGCTGAATCACACAATTCCAGTACATATTTTGCAGAGGGCGTCTCCTTAACCCAGCAATGTTACAATATTATTAATGTCATTCAAAATCTCTTTTTTACCAACCAGTCTTATTTTAACATTAATTTAATAATCCACTGTCTTTTACTAATTTACGGATAAAGGCACATCATTCTCAAAAAAAACAATGCATTTTTTTCCAGAAAAGACAGCGGACCGCAACCAGTCAATTTTTCCTACCGTCTAACCGCAAACTCCTCAAAAGTTTTCCAAAAAATCAGTATCAAATACAAGTCTACAAAAATCTTCTAAATAGTATACATAATTGCAGCCAATAATTCATTCAAGAGAAGGTTAGGTAATAAAACTATAGAGAACTAAATATTAAGAAAAGTGACAACACAATTCTAAATCTGGGAAGTATGAAACATGAAACTTCTTTTTAGGTATTATTATGTCTCAACAGTATATGGTCTATACCATGGTTAATTTTAAAATGCAAATACCTAGAAAAAGTCTAGCACTTCAGTAAAAAAAGATCAAAAGATTGTTGTTTTACAACCAACCTTCTCCATTAACAATTTAACACTATTGCAACATTCTTTCAATTTTCTTCGATGAATGGATCCCTCAAGCAAACGATTTTCGTGCACATCGAACTTTAATGCCGCCTCCATTAGTTTTAATAACACATCTCATAAAAAAAGATCAACTAAAACTACTAAAGGTATATAGGCTTAATTAGCTCAAATTATGACATATAATGAATCAAGAGCGTTTCGCATTTTGATATTTGACACTGTGTATGGTAACACAAAGAATGAAAGTAACAACACACACTGATTGAAGACAGGTGGGTTATGTAGTGTACTCAATATACGACTTTGATTTTTATGAGTTGATATTTTGTGTTTAACCGGAACAGTTATGGTGGATTCATACTTGTATCAATCCTAACCTTACCCTTAACATTAACCCTATAAAGAGTTAGGGCGGATTTACCCAATTCCTTAATTGCTATTCCTTAATTCTTATTTCTTAGTCTCTAATTTGTAATTCTTAATACACAATTCTTTATCCCTTATTTTTTTAGAGACAGTTATCCAATGTCTTAATCCATATTTCTTAATTCTTAAAACTGACACTAGTAGATCAAATCAAATCGTTTTTATTTCGTTGTGCTATTGTGTGCAATGAAGTCCATACAAAAAATTGTAGCACTTTCGGGTTTGTTTATAACCATGGCTTGTTGTGTCGCTACTCTCGTGGATCGCCACCGAGGTTGTAGGCGATTTGGGGTTCGCCCCATGAATAGAAGAAAGGACATGGAAGGCAATTTTGGAACTCTAATACAAGACATGCCTTCCTTTGAATGGGACGAACAACAGTTCACAAAATACACACAAAATTAACATTTCAAAATTTCACGCATGCGCATCTACACGTTTTCCTTAATCGCTAATTCGTAATCGCTAAAAAGTTAAAAGTTGGGAACTTTCAAAATAAAGAATTACGAACCGTGGTTAAGAATTAAGGATTAAGACATTGTATAAGCAAACTAACTGCATAACACGTATTTTATCTTTTTATAATTTAGCGAATAAGAAATAAGAATTAAGGAATAGCAATTAAGGAATTGGGTAAATCCGCCCTTAACCATAAGAACTTAAGGAAATGGTGCTACAGATAGTACTGGTAGAATAATACTTCTTTGATTATAAACAAAGCCTTATGTTTTTATTCAATTTCAGGCCCTTTAATATTTCTAATGGAATGGGTTGGCACAGACGAGGCAGACCTAGTACCTGCTAAACAAGCCAACGTCAAGTGTCCTCAGGTTATGATCAAATTCTGTGAAGAACAACTCTCTTGGACTTCACCTAATATAGGGAAGACCTGAAGACCTTCATGTATCTATTTGTCTGAGGAATATCCTAGGAAGCGCTTGCGCTCATTCGAAACATATGTTTTAAGCTAACCTAACTTCAGAAATATTTTTAGAATTTCGAATATCAGAGAAACAATTTTTACAAACTATATTATTTTGTTTTTCGATAACATTCACAGACAACACTTGTTTGTGAATAAACATCAATAATTTCTACACCAAAAAATAAATAGTTTATTAAAATTTATAAACCGTGTGATACTAAACCCTGCCTATCACCTTTAAGTAGATTTAATCGACATTACACTCAGTACAGACATTCTGTACAATGACTTTAATAAAAATAGTGGTGACAATTAAAGAAGTAATTCATTTTAAAAATGTTTCCTAAAATTGTCTCTGCAACAGACACTCCATTCTGTTATACTTTTTCAATTTTATATTAAAACATTATAAATGAGACTGAGTTTCATATACAGGGTGGTCCTAACTGTATTCCGGAAACTTCGGCAGCATATTCTGCAGATAAAAATTAGTAAAAAAGTTCGTATAAATGTATGTCCTATAAGGTGTTGAAGTTGCATTTTTATTTTTTCCAAATAATTTCTGAAGTAACGTCAATATTTGGATGAAAATTGGTGTCTGGAAGTTTTTTGACATGAGAAATTTGATTTTGATGTCAATATAACTCCTACTTGTAGATGGCGCCACCTACATAGTTTTTAATTGGTTTGAAAAGTAATAACTTATCGTCCGTACCTGTGTAAAACTACTGAGTAAAAAAATATACATTTATAACGTTTTTTACGTAAAAAAAGTCTCTTGGTAAAAATCGCCACGAGTAATGGTTCTCGAGATATTTGGAATCGAAATATAAATACCTGTCGTCATTGACATAAATTAAACATAGTTATTATAGTGAAAGCATACATTTCAAATGTTTTGGCGCCAAAAGTTCAATAGAAATTGTTTTATCATCATTTTTTCGAAGAAAAATTTATGATTGATTTAAAAAAATACAAAGTTCCCAAATTTATCATTTTAGTCAAATAACTATCTACTCAATACGTTTATTTTTTGTCAATAATGACATTTATTGACTTTTCCCATTCTAAATATCTTGAGAACGGTTGCTCGTAGTGATTTTTGCCAAGAGACATTTTTTACGTAAAAAAATGCGGCAATGTATATATTTTCACTCAGTAGTTTTATACAGGTATGGACAAAAAGTTATTACTCTTCAAAACAGTTAAAATACATGTAGGTGGCGCCCCCTATAAATAGGAGTCATATTGATATCAAAATCAAATTTCTCATGTCAAAAAACTTCCAGACACCAACTTTCATCCAAATATTGACATAACTTCAGAAATTATTTAGAAAAAATCGAAATAAAAATGAAACTTCTACACCCCGTATCTCCAAAACTAAACATTTTAGGACATATATTTATACGAACTTTTTTACTTCTTTTTATCTGCAGAATATGTTGCCGGAGTTTCCGGAATACAGTTCGGACCACCCTGTATAATGAGATCATTTTTATTCGATCTTACTGACATATTTACTTCAAGAAAAATATCTTCTAAATAAACAGAATTTTTGCTGCCATCCATTTTTTTTATTTAAACTTGGTTTAAACTTTTTGACTTCTTTTAAGTTCCAATTTAGATTTGGGTTGGGTTGGTAGAATGAAAAGAAAAATCTTCTACAACAAAATAGAATAATTTTTATTGAAAATTAAAATTTTGTGAATTGCTCAACCCCAACTTAATTTCAATAATTTTAGTTAAGATATAAAGTACTTTCCATCAAATAAATTAAGTTAAAAACGACTTTGTCGCGATTAAAAAAAACTTCTACTTTTAAAGTATGTAGTTTCTTCAGAGTATAAAACTAATAAATCCTTGTAAATTTCAAATACAAAACATCTATGGTTACCGCCCATAGAATATATTTGCATGTTTTTGAAAACATTTTGTGAACATGTCATCTCTATATTATTTCTTAGTGCATAGTCACCGCTACCTTTAATAAACACTGTACTTAAGTTAAGTTCCTAGATAAACAAAGTACCGCAAGTGATAGTTCAATATTTTGAAGTTGAAATGACAATATTGCTTTTTTACAAAATTTTCAATAAAAAACCTGATTAAATGTTACTAGATTTTTTAACTGGAATCCTTTGTTGTCCATGGGCATTATAGGTTTGACTAGATATTAAAATAATAATGAAGTAACGTTATTCTCAACCATATGCAAATACAGGGTGTAACAATATTCCGTGGACATAGAACTACTACGCATTTATGGGATCAAAATAGTTCATTGGACACAAATTACCTCTATACAAAAGTGCTTTGTTTTTTCGTTAAATTCCGCATCAAACCTTAAAAGAATAAACATATTTTTTAAGAACCGTTATTTCGATTTGAATTAGATTTCGGGTGTCTATGTTTTGCCAACTGCTCTAACATTTGACTTTCACAAAAAAAACAAGAAAAAATATGGGAAGTGTGAAATTATAGAAAATATTTTCCAATTACACCGACGACCGTTTTTTTTTGTAAAATGGTTCTTCTAGATATGATACACTTTTTGTCTCTTGTAAAACAACGCCGCCGTGTATGCTTTTTAAGGAAAAAAAGTTTTTTTCTGAAGATGACTTACAAAAAATGTTCCTTGTCAAAAAATCAAGCCACTTGTAGGCGCATAAAATCTAGTATGCGCTAATAATTCTAGTTGGTGCGAAAATATGAATAAGTAAAATGGATATAATAATATGGTAGAGTTGGAAAATATTTCTACTAAAATTTATGTAGGGGTCGAGGTAGTTTTCAAACTTCCCGTACTTTTTCTTGTGTTTATTTTTGTGATATTCAAATGTTTAGGCACTTAGCAAAATATAGGCATCCCAAATCTCAGTTAAATCGGAATATCGGTTCTTAAAATATTTAAAAAAATTTGTTTATTTTTTAAAGTTTGAGGCCCTCTAACGGATAAAAAGCACTTTTTTGTATTGAGGTAAATTGTGTTCAATAAATTTAGTTTGATTCCAAAAAACCTAGTAGTTCTATGTCCACGGGATACTGAGACACCCTATATATTACTAAAACACGCCATTTCGACTCCAAAGTAGCGACAAACCAATTCTCGAACTCTATTCATCAACAAACTTTACCTTCCCATAAAAAAAACGCCACCTGGTGGCTAAAATCACGAAAGTGCACGCTCGAAGCAACGTCAGACTCACGCGGCAATCTAATTGCTGGAGGCGGCGATCTGAGTGTTGGCCCTCTGGCTGCCCTGAGGCGCCTGCGGCAACCTTTTACATCGGTCTGGAGGCGAGTCGACCACGTGGTGGTTGGTGGCGGCGGCTGCGAGGTGGGGCAGGAGGGGCGGTCGTTCGGGGCAGGCGCCCGTCCGTCTCAGCTCCGAGTAGCAGCCGGTGCACACGCGCACCGGGTTGTACAGCTGCTCCGAGGGCAGGGGCGTGGCGTGCTCGGAACAATCGGCGCAGAAAATTTTGCCGCATTTCCTGCGCACAGAAAACTTACGGTTAATAATCGTGATGGGCAAAAGATGGAGAAATATCGCCCGTTGATAATATACTAGGTTTGTTCCAACACAACATTTTAGACCGTTCTAGGTAATTAATTTGGGATCGCCGACATTGGATTTGTACGCATGTGTCGACTGGGACAATTCGGTTACTATACCGAAATTAAATGCGGGTTGGAAAGGTTTTTGAATTGATTTTAGAATCAAACTCAAAAGTTAATTTTTAATTATTAATATAGGTTAGATATATATTTAGATATAAATTTCGAATTTTGTATTTTATTGGATTTATTTAGAGATTATTCAATTTATTTATTTTTTAATTAATGCGAAATCACCTTTGTTTTATTTAACAAAAGTTTTAAATCATTTTCATTGGTATCCACTAGAGATGAGCAAAACTGCGATTCTCCAATCGCAATTGAAACTGCGATTGCGATTTTTAAATCGCAGTGACTGTAACCTGCGATTGCGATTTTAATATTTACCAAACCAAATTATTCGTCGTAAAAAAATGCTTTTTCTAAATATACCAATGAGCCATCCTCGTTCCATTTGAAAAAAATGAAGTATGATTAAAAATATGATTTGCACATCTTTTAACTGTCCAGGACAAGACACAAAAGGCAATAGACAATCAAATCTATTTTTCCAAGACATCTTGGTTAAAATTAGTGATTTTAACACAGATGACATTCTAGATTGAGATTTAAAATAAGATTTTTTTAAGCGAAAATGTCAGAAATTGCAATAAGATATGCCATTCTATTTTTTATACATATTTCCTATTGAATAAAGTAAAAAAATACCGAGGGTGTCATTTAAAAATCAATAGTTGTAGTCATTTCCGGTGAAACAGGAAGTGATTGAAAACAATTGAATACGTCAATCAATCCTAATTTATGTCATATACTAACATACCAAATCTCGTTTTTTTATCAGAAAAAAATAAAAAAAGTTATAGAGGTGAACCACTCTTGAGAAACACCCGGTATATTATGATTGTAGCACTAAATAATACCGTCTCTATAAATAAATATATATCAGAGAGAAAATTCAATTGAAGTTTACTATAAAATGCTTAAATAGACCACAAAATTACATTCGCACCAATATCGCAAATCATAACTCCTAAAAATTCAAACTCGCAGATAGAAATCACGGTCCCAGTTTACAAGATCACAATCGCAGCAAAATCGCAAATCGCAACAAAATCGCAAATGGTAACAAAGTTGCAAATCGCAGCTATAGTAATACTGGTTGCCTAAATTAAAATCGCAATCGCAGTTTCCTATGAGAGCCAATCGCAGGTTGCGATTGCGATTTTAAAACCGCTACGATTGAATCGCAGTTTGCGATTTCTTGCTCATCTCTAGTATCCGCATACTTCATTCCAAATGAAGGGTCCAGGGGAAAAACTTTATAAGCACCAATTTCTTAATTTTAGGATTTTACAATCTTATAGTAGGTCTAAATGGTACCTACAAAATATATAAATTCTGCAGGGCAATAAGTTGTTAAATCTTACAATATATACGGCTGGTGGTTATCAGGTTCTTTCCGTGTATTCTATATGTTTACTAAAGATATAATATCATAGGATTTCACAACTTATTGCCCTGCAGAATTTATACATATTGTAGGGACCAGTTAGACCTACTATTATATTGTAAAATCCCAAAAATTAAAAAATTGGCGCTTGTCAAGTTTTTCCTCTGGACACTTCTCTACTGCGCATAAGCGTGACCGTCCCTCTGTTATGTTGGAACAAAACAACTAGTATTTAATAGATATTATAAAAAGACCAGGTCGGTAAAGTTCCGTCTACGCATAACGTTTTACCTTACGTTTTGCTTGTCAGTTAAAACGGAAAAACGTCTTAAGGGACGGTCTTCCATTTTGGTCCCATTTAGAAATAACGCTTTACCTATCAGTTAAAAGGGTCAAGTAAGAGGAATTAAAGGCTGGTGTACACACTGAAAGTTTTTACTCCCATTTTGGATCAGTTTTTGATAAAGACCACGGAAGAAACACTGCTTTATACAGGGTTGTTCAGCACATACGACACGGAGTATTGTAGCTAAACGATTAGATTTTTACAAATATTAAGTTTTGGGTTCGTTGAAGGACTATTAGAGCTACAATTTAAAAATAATTTTACAAGGTACAGAGAGTCCCAAATAAGTAAAAAATGGTATAGTTGTATTTTTTTAAATGGAATACCCTGCATATTATTCTATTTTTAGATTGTACGATTGAAATCAAGGTAAACTTTATTAAGGTTCATCACACTTAAACCTTACCGTTTTTGAAATATTTTCAATTTTGTGAAATTGCACTCAAAATTTTAAGGCTTCATTTCTCCAAGGGTATCAAAGTTTTTAATACTAAATATTTACTGAAGTTTATTTATTGATCAGCTATTGTGTTGCAATAAGAAAAATTATACTACCTTATACAGAGTGTCTAAAATTTTATTTTAAATAATTACTAGATTTAAACGGCAATAACTTGTTTAATTTAAATTGAACACCCTGTATATTTTATGAGAATCAGATGCACAATTTAATTGTCTATCAAATTGTATTATACCATTTTTTACCTATAGCTTCAAGTTTCCGTAGAAAATGCATTTTCTTATAATTTAGACCTCATTTATCAATATACCCATGGAATATTGACATTTTAGATTGTTTTTAAAGCAACAAATATACAGGCTAGTAATATTGTATATTTCAAAAACGGTAAGGTTTAAGTGTAATAAACCTTTATCAAATTTACCTTTATTTTAATCGTAGAAACTAAAAATGTAATAATATACAGGGTGTTCCATTTAAAAAAATACAACTTTAATATTTTTTATTTATTTGGGACACTCTGTATCTTATAAAAATATTTTTAAATTGTAGCTCTAATAGTCCTTTAACGAACCCAAAACTTACAATTTGTAAAAATCTAATCGTTGAGCTACAATACTCCGTGTCGTATGTGGTGAACAACCCTGTATAGGCTTGTTAAACTGAATGATCTCATCAGTTTTCTAAACTCTCTCTCTCTACCGTCTTAATTCAGTACAAGTAAAACGATCAATTTTTTTGTCTACACACAATGTTTTACTTCATACATTTTGACAGAACAGGTAAAACGTTATGTATAGAGGGGGCTTTAAATTTCCATACACATTAACTATTATTCTCTCCCCAGGAAATCTTCCGACTACAATAAACTAGACACTAGGATATATACAGTACTTAATGATACACAATTAAAAAAAACAACACTTTTTTATTTATCTAAAAATTTGTGTTAAAACCCAACTGGCACAATATGGCTCTGCCAATCTTACACATCACTTTTCAAACGAAACTTACTGACCTGCAGTGATGTCGCCGCCTTCCTAGCCAAAATTCCGTCCCGCAACCCGTACACCTGCTCACGGCGTGGTCAGGTACCCAGAGAGTACCTTGGCACTCAGCCAAAATCCCGTCTTCCACCGCCACCCAGGATAAATCAGATCTGAGTGATTCCCCGGCAGACGCTTGGCCCTCGCTGGCGCTGTTTACAGATTCTACCACAGAACTCTGCAAATAATAAGTGCAATATATAATAAAATTCCTATATTAAAATAAGGAACCGTGTGAAATATACGTATGAATAAAGGGTTTTGGATTATTAGGGATTGGTCTATAAGCTTGGTGCATTTCAACCGATTTTTAAAAATTCCGACAACAGCGCACGCTACGGCAGAAATCTGAACTGCCTGGCTATTTCGGTCCCGATTAGCGTTCATGATGATCGCATTGATATAACCGTGGCTTTTACTAGTGCAGTTATTGAAACTGTAAACTTCTCAGGTTCGTACCTGAGAAGTTTGCATTGTTGTAACGCTGTTTCGGGTAGTAAAAATTAAGTGAAAAAGAATCCCAACTGGGCGAATCCTGTTGTGACAATTTCATATGATAATAAATTTGACGAAAAATATCAACACAAAAAGGAGAACACAACTGCGTCGTTGCTGGATGCAATAACATTCCAAACAACTCTTCCGAAACAACATTTTACAGCTTGCCAGCTTTATCACACCGACTTGATCAAAAGAAAAATGAATTCAGGCAGATCGTCGAAACATGTGAGTAAACAAAAGCCCATGACATTCAAAAAATTAAATAGACATATACTATAAGGATAAAATATAATTTAATCAATATTAATGATAAACTTCTGTTTAATCAATTAGTGCTTAATTTTTTATGAATGTTTTTTTTTTAATTATGTACCTTTAAAAACTTTTGTTACAGTCCAGAGTAGAGATGGGGACATTGCGGAAATCTTATTTTGAGGGCATGTTCCTGGGAACGTTCCCCAAATCGGGATAGTGATGGGAATGGATTTTTTTTTAATATTATGAAAAATTGGAAACTTTCCGGGAAGGTTCCCGGAAATATTCCCTAAAGCAGAAAAGTGATAAGACCAAACAACAGAAGCAACACAAGTCGATAAAAGAAACAAATTTAGGTTATGTTTATAACCTAGTTTCTCTTCTTCTTTTTATTTGTGGCGTGGCCTGTTCACAACTTTTCCAATGTTTTGATTACTTTCCCTAAATTTAAGAAAAGTTCCCGAAAAGTGGGGAATGTTCCGAGGAATATTCCAACTCGCATCAAAATACCACTTTCCCGACCTTAGAGGAACGTTCCCGGAACATTCCCGGAACATGGGCACGTTCTCTGAGGCACGTTCCGACCTGCACATCGCTAGTCCAGAGAGCCCCATTTAGATCCCAACTAGTAATAGCCGGCGCGGCGTCTTATTACTCACCTAAAAAAATTATTACCTTTAATAATAAATTATAATACACGTTAGCCCTTCTGAAGATATCAAAAGTTTAGCTTTTTATTTTATTTTTCTAGAATTTTCCCCAATTGCACTTACTAATACTTTTCAAATTATAACAAAAAAAATTATCCTATACTCGCTATTTAAGTGGCAGCACCGGCGGAGAATGCATCAAGCCTATAAGTAGTCCATCTTAAATTATTTTGGTTTGTAATGGAAGAAAACTCGTGAGACATCTAAAAATTAAGTTAACACTTGCCAGTGACTTAACTTGTAGACAAATTTGCCTAACCATCAAAAAATCATAACATTTCAAGAGGCGTACCCGCAAATGTAACTAATTTGAGAACATTTTATTTTTCGTTTTATTTTAATATCGTTTATTAAAATCGTTGACGTTCTGATAAACTGTCTAAACTAACCAACTAAAACAATGTGATTGAAATTTTAGATCGATAGATGGAATATTGTTTTATATACAACCAAAACCAATTGAAAAATAAAAAGAGTATATACATACATATTTATCCACTTAACAAGTTCATTAAATTGTTCTCATCGGGGTTGAAAGGGTCAAATATTTACATTACGGGTAGGTAAGGGTACCTAAGGGGTATACTGGGTATTAAAATAGGACCAAGGATAGATGTATAATACAATATTGTCCATACACCATTCGATAACATTTACATGCAACAAATAAACGCACCAGAATATTTTTGGTCAGATTGAATAAGATGTTAAGTAAAAATAATGGTAACATTATGTCAATTGTACCTCTAATTTCAATGTAAACATTCAGAACATCAAAATTAGTGATAGTAATTTTCAATTAGTAGAAAAAGTTAACAAATATTTAACTTGTTCCACTAATCATACCTGAAAATTTGCTAGTAATAGAGAACAACGGCATACGGTCGAGTCGGCCGCTGCTGACACGTATACGTAGACGTAAAGAATCTTTTACGTGTATAAAAAATAAAAAATATAAGAAATGCGCATGCGTACGTAAACGTTTACGTGTTTGTAGGCCGACTCGACCGTATGCCGTTGTTCTCTAATGTCATTTTGACCTTTGATTATTATCCGTCAAAACAAATTGTGATTAGAAATCAAAAGTTTATCGTTTTATAAGCTAATATTAGGCTTCCTCTATGGATATAAATGACTACCCCGGAAGCTGTTGCTAGGATAGTCTATTAATTTTAATTTTATTTTATTTAGACATTGTTGTAAGTGACGTATAAAGTATAATTGAAACCTAATTTATCCAACTTCTGAATGAAGCCCTAAGAAAAAGTTTAAAAGTTTTTGTAATATAAAAATGAACAAATTATCTTGTGGCCAAAAAAAGAATCTTGTAGACATGTCAAAACCATCGTCGATTAGTAGTATATACAAAAATAAAATGAAAAATATTAACTCCAACAAGAGATTAGTAACATTCAAAAACCCCAAAGCTGCTTTTGTTTAGTTTGACGGAATAAGAAAAAAAAACATAAAATGGGATCTTACTGGTCGGTCGGGCCCGAGACTACAGGGCGAATGTTTCGAAGTACACGAGCTCCTACTCGAGGATGATCTGCCTGAGCTACTATACTAAACAAAAATAAATTCCTGTAGTATGATACTACTATACAGGGTGTTTCAAAAAACATGTGCCATCTTTCGTGGGGAGATTCCTCACGTAAAAATAAGATTTATTTTTTATATCAACATAGGTCCTGCTTTGTTTTGTCTAGCTACAGAGTGTTAAAATCTTCATTTTATTCGATTTATATATTATATAATAATATAATTTCCTTCCAAGTGCTCTTAGCGACTTCAATGAAATTTTGAGGGTAAAAGTTACTATAAGTGTGATATATTTTAATGCTAAAAAAGTGTCGACAGTCATAACCCATATGCACATCAATGACATTCCCCATATAATGTTACATATAAAATGACAGCGATCTTCATTTGATAGCCATCGATGACGCCGTTTTTTATCATATTGTAGCTTATAGTAACTTTTATCCTCAAAATTTAATATGAATCACTAAAAGCACTTGGAAGAAAATTATGTTAAAAATGAAGAATTTAGCCCACGAAACATAGCAGAATCGGGTCTATGTTGATATAAAAAATAAATCCTATTTTTACGTGAGAAAACTCCCCATAAGAGATCGTACATGTTTTGTGAAACACCCTGTATAGTAGGTTACACGCTATCTATCTTCATTACGCTACGCTTCATCACGCTACGTCTATCTTCATTACATGCATTAAATTACCACAAAGTAGTTTTTTTATTATATATTATCAGACAATTATTAACCTATAAATGTACAACTATTAAATGTATAAATTATATTTACAAACATACATCTTCAAAAGAATCGAGTTATACACAAATACTGTTGACTGGCAGTACTGATACCTAGTTAAAAACAGTTTCAGTGACATTGTGTCTACTAAAATAAATTTGAGGTTAGTTACTAAAAGCAGATGAGATAGATAGAAAAGATGAGAAATCTAAAATGATAAATCATGAATAAATGTCTAAAACTATACTATTATACACACCGGAAAAATCTAGGGATATCATTTTATTAAAGTTAAAAATAAATGTTTTGTATAAACAACCACATATTTGTAGGCCGATTCTTTCTACTTCGATTGAAACGAAGTAGTCACACTAGTTATTTCTAAATTTGGGATATTTGCAGAAGTGTTTGTGCATTTTTTGTCAAATGTATAAAAAGCACCTTGCATCAATTATTCGAATTTAACCTGTACTGGCTATGTTTTTATGATAACTGGCCAGAATTCATTCAAACAACTCTGTTTAGTATTAAACGACATTATGGGGCGTAGACATCGTAACAGAGACGAAATGCTAAGGGCCATGGGTATGCTCGAAGCTGGAATGCGCCAAATCGACGTAGCTAGAGCATTAAATACAACGCAAAGTGTAATATCGCGATTAAGTGCACGCTACCGTGAAAGTGGTGATGTTGCTGAAAGGCATTACATCGCATTACTACCCCTCAGCAAGACCATTTTTTATAATTAAATGCTCGACGCCGACCGACTCTTACAACACCAGAACTTAGTTTAATTCTCCAGGAAACACATAATGTAACCGTTAGTCCTGACACTGTTCGCAATAGATTAAGAGAGGTCAACTTAAGAAGCAGACGCCCCTGGAGAGCTCAACCCTTAACGAGAGAAAATCGAGAGGTACGATATTTGTGGGCTCAAGATCATGTTCAGTGGTCGAATAAACAATAGGCCAATGTTCTCTTCACGGATGAGTCACGCTTTGGAATTCATCCGGATTAGAGAAGGCTTAGGGTATGGAGAGAACCGGGAAATCTTATTCGGTTGGATCATGTTCAGGAAGTGCACCCTTATCAAGGTGGAACACTTATGGTCTGGGGAGGAGTCCAGTTAGGCCGAAAAACCGATCTCGTTTTTCTTGAAAGGTTTCTAACAGGAATCACATATCGTGATTTAATTCTTGAGCCTGTCGTCTTACCATATGCCAATGATTTTGGGAGAAACTTCATTCTCATGCATGACAATGCACGGCCTCATACAGCCAGAGTGGTAAGTGAGTTTATCAATGTTCATCAATTAAACATCTTACCCTGGCCGGCACAATCTCTTGAACTCAGCCCCATCGAGCACGTATGGGACGCGGTCCAAAGAAGAATTTTGAGAATGGTTATGCCTCGTGAAACTCGTAGGGATCTGGTTCGGGCCGTGAATGCAGCGTGGCAGGCTATACCTCAATTCATACTCATACCCTTTATTAAGTAAAAAATGTTTTTTTCTTTTTTTTTAATTCACAGTTTAGAATATAAAAAAAATGTGTGTATTTTTTTGAGTTCAATAAAAATCAAGGTAAATTTGAAAAATTCGGTAAATTTCGCATTTTTATTTCCAATACGTCCTGTAAACTATTTGTTTATTTTAATTTTATTATATCAGAAATGCAAATAATAAAATTACTGACGATGGCTGGATAAATTGTAATATCCCTAGACTTTTCCAGTGTGTGTATATAATGCAGCGAACAGAAATATAAGAAGTATCCTTAGTGTATTCTAAATATAGGGTGAGCTAAGACTGGAATCTATATGTGGCAAAAATAAATCAAAAAAGCAACTACTTTAAAAATAAAACATTTAGGAGTTAACCGATTTTATACAGTAAATACTCACGCTATCGTCTTGTTTCTCGTTATCTCCATTCTGGCACCTGTGGCAAGCCTGTTTTATTAAATACTGCCTGGAAGTGTGCAGTTCCTTTTCTAACAATTCTACTTTTTTCTATAACAGAAGAAAAAATTGTTAATTGAAATGATTTGCTAGATGAAGTAATAAATAACATACTCTGTGCTCTTCCACTATTTGGTCTAATCTCTCCTGAGTGGGCGACCGGATAGGCATTAGACCATCCTCACCCAGTTGACAGTGAATGGGCCGACACCTATACCGGTAGGCGTGGTGATGATGGTGCATGTAAGCTCCGCCCCAACCGTTTGGACTGACGGACATACGCGAAGGGTAACTAAAATACAGACATAGTGATACAGGGTGGTCCGAATAGTATTCGGGAAACGTCGGCAGTATATTCTGCAGATAAAAATAAGTAAAAAAGTTTGTATAAATTCATGTCCTCAAATTCTTCATTTCGCAGATACAGTGTGTAGAAGTTTCATTTTTTATTTCGATTTTTTTTCAAATAATTTCTGAACTTATGTCAATATTTGAATGAAAATTGGTGTCTGGGAGTTTTTTGAGATGGGAAATTCGATTTCGATGTCAATGTGACTCCTACTTGCAGGGAGCCCACCTACACATTTTTAACTGTTTTGAAGAATAATAACTCTCACATCCGTACCTGTGTAAAATTAGCGAGTGAAATAATATAGGTACATTTCCGCCGTTTTTTTTTACGTAAAAAAGATCTCTACGTGTAAAGTTTCCCGAGATATTTGGAATCAAAATAAATAATACAATCATTGACAAAAATTGAACATATTGACAAATAGTTATTATACTGAAACCATAAATTTGAAATGTTTTTGTGCAAAAAGTTCAACATAAACTATTTCATATGTTTCACGCTGCATTTCTCAAGATATAATGATTAAATTAAAAATTAAATAAAAAGTTCCATTTCAAAATTTATCATTTCGGTTAAATAAGTATCTAGTCAACATTATGATACAAAGAATACAAGGTATGATATTGCGCAGGTTGGTCACTACGTCACAGGTGATAAACGGCACCATTGGTCGGCAAGCTCTGCGCGCCAATTTCAAATTGACAAACAGATTGTGTCATCTGTGAAATTTGATTGTGTCAAAATGTGAAAATAATTTTTCAAATGTCAAGCTTGATGTCAAAATATAACTTTTGGGGTTATGTCCTAATTCTTCCCTATTTTAGGTCTTTTTTTATTAGTGGCAATTGAACAATATGGATATTTTTTGTATGGCGTATGACGTCACAGGTGGTATGCGCAAACTTAACGAAATTGGAGCCGCTATCGATCATACCTTGTTTTCTTTGTATCATGAGTCAACATGTTTAATTTATGTCAGTGATGACATGTATTGATAATTTACATACCAAATATCTTGAGAAAGGCTTATTTACATAAAAAGCCTTCGTAAGAAGCCTTTTTTACGTAAAAAATGGAGGAAATGTATATTTTTCACTCAGCAGTTTTATACAGGTAAGTTGAAAAGTTATTATTCTTGAAAACAGTAAAAAAATATTTAGGCGGCTACAAGTAGGAGTCATATTGATATTGAAACCAAATTTTTCATGTCAAAAACACCCAAACACCAATTTTCATCCAAAATTGACTTAAATTTCTACTTAAGACAAATTATTTTGAAAAAATCGAAACAAAAATGTACTAGTGCTCTAATAATGTACTAATAGTGTTCTATACTGTTCTAATAATGTACTATAGTGTACTAAAAATGTTCTACAACCTGTATCTCTGAGACAAAGCATTTTAAAACTACATTTTTATATACAGAATATGCTGTCGACATTTCCCGAATATAATTCGGACCACCCTGTAGATACAATGGTATCGAGAGTAGAAAAATGTATCATTACCGTCGAGATTAACTAGATCTCGAGACAATAATGAAACTTTCTTTCGAGGTTTGTATACTATTTAGTTCTATATATAAAAGTTAAAGTTTTAAAAAACAAGATTCAATGTTTATGTATTTTTTCTGTACTAGTATTTTTTTTAAATTTATAATCAAACACCATAAGAAAATTTCTAAAATAATTTACCTTATATATTTTATATTTTAAATACTTACATACAATTGTCGTTGCCAACTTTCACATTTTGAGAGCATACTTTACAATTAGCTGCATCATCCATAGTGTGGAGGGGTTTTTGAATTTTTTCAAATCCATTATATTCTTTGGGCGAGGAACTAAAAAATTATTTAATTTTTAAAGTATTTTTTTCAACAAGTAGGTATTATAACATTCAATACAACTCTTCCTCAACAACTTTTTCTAACTTCCCATTCACAAGGCTCCATTAGAAAAAATGGTATATTTCTTTTTAATCAACTAGTGGCTTAATTTTTTCATGAACAGCCTCTAAAACTATAATTATGTACCTTTAAAAAAATTCTTTACAACCCAAATAGCCTCAATTATGCCCCCATTAGCAAAACCGGAGCGTAAAACTAGGCTCGCTACGTAGCTAAATTGATCTAAAGAGTTTTATTAGCTTGGATAATAAATTGTAATATATGTTAGACCTTCTGAAGATATCAAAAAATTTACGTTTTTATTTTTTTTTTAATTTTTACGAATTGCACTTACTAACACTTTTTATATAATATTACAACAAATTTTCGTGTACTCGCAATTTAAGCTGTTTACGAGATTCTCCATTGGTAGCAGCACCATCAGAGAATACACCAAGCCTATTAATTGACCCAAATATTTTCAGATTTTGATAATTATTTTGTCTTATATTACATGTCAGTAGTAACTTTTTAACTTACCCAGCCATAAGCTGCTCAGACACCAGCGTCTCAGTGCTGGTCTCCACCGACCTTTCCAGATCCAACATCTGTCCCACCTGCTCCCCTCCCTTGCACACCCCCTTCGAACTACCGTCACTACCGTCGCTACCGCTCGAATTATTGTTGTTCTCCATGAACCCGTCCGTTTCCGAGTCACTGCGTTCGATTTTCGCATCGGTCTCCTCGCTTTTCCGCTCGCCGTTGCCGAAAACCTGCGGTTCCGCCTCCGACTCCTCCCTCTCGGACGTTTCCGCCGCGTGTCGGCCGCCGTTCGTTAGAAAAGTGGGTGGAGCGTCCTCGTCGGACGAGTTGGACGTGCCCCTGCGGCACTCCCCGTTTGTGAAGTCCAGCCCGTCGATCTGGTCGTCGGTCAAGTTGGACGTAGGGAGGTGGGCGTGCTCGTTGAACATGCAATCCTGGTTGCAGTCGGCGGGGTTGTCCTCGAGGTCGCTGGGAAGAAAATCGGGGGCGGAGTCTAGAACGATGGGATGGTCGCCGTTGTGGGCGGTCGTGAGGGTATTTAAGGCATTTTCGCGTTCCAGCAGCTTTCTAAATATTGTGTAAATCGAATTTTTAAAGTATATTCTTTAAAAAAACTACGGAACGATCAACAACGATTTTAATAGTTGGTAAGATTGTGTTAGAGAATTTTGAGAAAAATACATTCTTCAGTAAAATGTTTGCTTTCAATAAGGCTTAACTAGAAAACCTTCAATTATACCGGGTGCGTCTCAAAAGTGGCACACCCCCTATAACTTTTTTATTTTTTCAGATACAAAAACGAGACTTGGTGTGTTAGTATATGACATAAATTAGGATTGACTGAAGTATTCAGTTGTTTTTGGTTACCTCTTGTTTCACCGGAAATGACTACAACTTTTGAATTGTAAATGGTACCCTCGATATATTTTTACTTTAGCTCTACTATTTCTACTTTAGTCAATAGAATGTGACACTCTGAATAGAATGACATGTCATATGTCAACTTTTTACATTTTCGCATATGGTTTATTTGAAATTGTAACATGCGGTTCATAACGGCAATTTGATTCAAAATACCAAGTGTGTGGTATTAAATTATTCGTAAAAAATACTTTTCCAAATATGCTAATGAGCCACCCTGGTTCCATTTGAAAAAATTGAGATATAATTAAAAATACGATTTGGGCATCTTTTAACTAGCCAGAACAAGACAAGAAAAACATCAGACAATCAACTGTCTTTTTCCAAGGCTCCTTGATTAAAAATTAATGTTTTTAACACAGCCATGGCACTCTATTTTGAAATTTAAAATGCGTTTTTTAAAGCAAAAAGGTCAAAAGTTGATATATATGTCATTCTATTCAGAGTGTCATTTTCTATTGAATAAAGTAAAAATATACCGAGGGTGCTATTTAAAAATCAAAAGTTGTAGTCATTTCGGGCGAAACAGGAAATGACAAAAAACAACTGAATACGTAAATCAATCCTAATTTATGTCATATACTAACACACCAAGTCTCCTTTTTTATCTGAAAAATAAAAAAGTTATAGGGGATCATTTATATACCATCTTGTTTTGGTTAGTCTCACATTATTATGAAAAACGAATTTAAAATTCGTCAAAATATTATTATATTTAAATTTGGGTTTATTTTTCAGATTTTTTTTTAGAATTTCATAAATTTATGGCCAACCACTATTTCAATTATTGTTGATTGCTCCGTATAAAATTAAATAGCATAAAGTAAGAACTTACAGCTGCTGTTTGACGTTGGGATCGCTGCTTCTTCTACTGTTGTAGAAACCTTGACAAGTCTCCGCGTTCATTAAGTCACCGTACGAGCGAGTCTTCGGCATGGCGTGACCGTTGAGTTCAGGGGGGCCCGGACAAGCCCCGCCAGATCCCTCTTCGGGACTAAAATTTGCCTCCATCGACCCTAAGTAGACTTCCGACCAAAGGCGCAGATCGCGGACGTTGGTTTTAGGCCACAAAACCTAAAATGATCCAATATTACAGCTAAACTCCGGCCAAAGAACGAAGAAAAATTTTAACGTTTGTAAAAAGTAAAGGCACATTCTCACGACTCGTGTACATGGCAAGTATTTTGTATTGGCATACAGGGTCTGGCTAGAATGCAGCATAGTTCCTATAATAAATAACTTAGAAATTCTATATAGATGCCCGACGCACCATGTATACCCTGTATACCAATTACATGTGCTTGTCAAGTAGACGAGTCGTGAGAATGCGCCATAAGACTTAACAAAATTATTAGGTAACACAGTGAGCAGGGTTGGGTAGGGGGAAAACTTTATATTTTCTACCGTATATTCTACACGTAGAAAATTAATTTTCTACACCAACTAACTTTCTACATTTTTTACATGTCCAGACGTGGAAAATTTAGTTTCGTATATTGTAAGCCTTTTCTGAGTTTGTACTGATTTCAAATACTTCAATCACAACGATTAGTACAAGAAATAAACTAATAACGATATCTCTAATTGTTATTTATTATTTAACAAATGGGTATAGTATATAGTATAGTCACGACATCCAGAATTTAATTTAAATACCTATTTTTTAAATGTTAATATTAATTTTATTGCATTACCCCATTACCGATTTTTTTATTATCTATATCAATTTATTGTAGATACAGATTAGAATAAAATATTATATAAATATCTATAATAAACAATAAAAAAACGCATCAAGGCAAAAACATACATATCAAAACATCAACAACTTAAATAAAATTAAATTTTGTGGTACTTTGTACAGGTTGTCCCATTTTTTGTGTTTTACAGGGTTTCTCGTTTTTTTCTCGAGCAGCGGTACAAAGATACGGCTTTAACAGTTGCTACTTTTTTGTAAAACTAAAGATGATTAACACATATTTGATGCCGCTATTAAAAATTTACGATAAAAATATATGAAAAGAAAAAGACGCACAGGCTTTTTATGGTTAAATTAAAAAAAAAGGGACAACGAAAACTATGAAAAAAAAGAAAATCAAACTTTTTTGTACGGTCTTCAGATTAAACAGAAAAAATATTCTAATAGTGTTCAGATCGATTACTTTGTCTTCATGGAGTTAGTAACACAACAGAATAGAGAGGTAGCGCGCGCGCACATATAACAGTTTTAACACTTATAGAATTTAAAAGAAAGAGAAAGGAAGAAACCTCTAAATTGAAAAAAAAACGCCTTTAAATATACAAAATTAATTTTGTACCTGTTCTCAGATTTTATATATTTTCTACGCACTTTTCTACATACACGTAGAAAATTAATTTTCTACGCGTCCGTCGTTACCCAACAGTGAGGGTTAAAAACACTTTTAAAAATATGATAAAAATATACTTACTTTTCCTGTTGAGGTAGTAGGTGGAGTATAAAGATGATTTCTAAATGAAGGCAAATTCAAGAATTCCCACACTGAAAACGTTCTGCCAGCCACCACTTTCCCGCGCTGCTTTTTGGTATTACAAAGGAATGTTCCGTATAGGTTAGAATAAGTGTGCTGAGCCAACTTGATCAAATAATTCTGAGAAAACTCGAAAGAAATCGGAAACTGCGTCACGAGCTGATGAACACAGTCCAACCACTATGGGAAATAATATTAATAGCTATGGATGAATTCTTGTAAGTAGGATTTTAAATAAAATACCTGTAAAAACACTGGACATCTTTCATTTGCATCTTCACTGCCTCCAGACTGGCCACATCTGTCTGCAAATTTGTGTCCAAACCCTAACCACTCCCTTTCAATCAGAACTCTGAAAAAAAAATGAAATATAGCATAATTAATAATATTACGAAAAAGACTAAGTTGTGTTTACCTGAATCCATCTACAGTACGATAATAAGGATCCAATAAAAGTTCTCCCAAAGCTATTATTTGGGGTGTTCTGTCCCAACCATCGGAACAATGAACCAAGACAGGTCTTGCATCCCTTTCCACTGCTGTGGTTAAAGTAACGGCCGCCTTGATGAGACCGGACATATGCAACAACCAACGGGTACCTTCCAAAAGGCTGAACCAACTGTAAAAAGAATTAAAAAAATGTAAATAATTTTCAAAATAGTATAAAATATTTATTAGCAGAGACATATAAAAATTGATCTTTCTTACCATTGAATAAAAAGATTAAGGAAAAAAAGTATATAAATAAAACCGGCCAGATTGCAAAGGGGTCTGAATATGACAGGTGTATCACATTAATATAATTACTCGCTAGTAAGTTTGCGTTATTTTTCATGTTGTTAGTCTACGGACGATTGCGGGAAACACAAGTAACTAATTTTGAAGCCTTTTTCTAGGAGATTCACATTAAAATCACTATAGATTAAGCCCAAACACAATCGCTCTCCAGATCAATAAACCCTGCATTAATACAATTAAAAAGAAGCCAAAAAAATACAATTTTGTCAGCAATCGCGTAACAAAACTAATAAATAACTCTTTAATGCAATGACTCTTTACTTGGTATTTTTATTCAATGATCCTCACTTACTTGGGTTGATCTGCCGATGACATGCACAACTGTCTCAGAGCGTGAAAACTTTTTCGAATAGCATGAATATTCGCCAAATTCATGAACTGAATCTCACAATTAGGGTAGTACTCGTTGCATTCACAGCCGCCTCCTCTAGCTCTGTTAGCTACAGCTGTGGTATAAGATCTCGCGTCCATGATCAGAAGCTGAAACAATAAAATTTTAAGTAATGTCTCCCACCTACCTTTTTCAGTTCATTTCTAATAAAACAACAAGGTTTAAAAATCAAAATAGATATCTGTTTTATGCTAAAGAGAAACCGCGTAGTTCCAAAATCCACAGACATTTTTCTCAGACACTATTTAAATGTACAGGGTGTTTTGGTATATTAAATAGTGGGTTTGGTAACGCTAACATTAGTCTTAACTTCAAAATTAATATCGTAATCTTAAATCACACAGGGTGTTCAAAAGTCAACGCCAAACTTTCTAAAATATAAAATAATTTTTCTTCGTTTTTTTTTAATGGAACAATCAATGGGTGGCTTTAATAAAAGTTTACTATGGAAAATGTCATATGAAATATAAAACCACAAATATTTGCGAAAACGTTAAAAGTTTGGCGTAGGATTTTGAACACTCTGTACGATTTAAGATTACGATATTTATAGCAGAATAAATACAGGGTGGGTCAAATTCGACGCTTTTAAATGGAAACACCCTTTTTTATAGGAGATAGACGAAAACTAATATCGGTGTCTGGAGCTCAATTTTCATCAAAAATATGGTGGTGAAAACCGCACATCAATATCTGTTACCGTTTCGGAGTTACGGGGTGTTTTTCAAAAATGTGCATTTTTAACAAATCGCTGTAACTTTTTTGCTATGGAAAATTTTGTATTTCTATGAAAACATTTCCAAAGCACCTTTTTACGTAGAATTTAATGGTTTAAGTATATTTTTTTTTAAATTAATAATTTAAGAGTTATCAACAGAAAAATTGATTTTTATTTAGGACACCCTCTATATTTTTAATTAACTGAAAAGAATTTAAAATTACCTTTCCAAAAATATAGCACACTTGATATTTTGTTATAATCCCCTTTGAAATACAGAATTTTTAAAAGTTCGCCACTTTTAACTAGTAGGCTTTGAACCCCTTATTGATATGCCCTTAATGGAACTAGAAAACATCTTTTTCCAGCAAGACGACGCACCGCCTCTGAACGCTGAAGTTATCAGCAAATTTTTGCAGCCAACTTCAAGAATAATTGAATAGCTAACCAAGATGCCAGCCGTTGGCCGTCGAGGCCGCCTGACTTAGTGCCCATGGATCTAATCCTATGGATATATTTGCGGAAGAATAAAGGTTTCTTATTCTTCAGTATAATCTAGACAAGAATTAGAAATACTTAGCAGCTATGAGAGGGTATCCTTCACCCCCCACTGAGTTGGGGAATGAATTCCGCGAGAAATGTTCAAAAACTGCCCCGTCTGTCCATAACAGAAGACGGTCGATATATCGAACAACTGTAGCAAAATCTCATGTCTTGGTTTGCTATTTATTTTTATTGTCATTAGATATAGTTTAAATGTGTTGTTGGTTAAATATATTTTAAATTGTTATAAAATTCTGCATCTCTCATAGCAAATATTATTTTCGTTTTAATTGATGCTCACAGCAAGAATTTTTTTGCATTACAGCCGGCGCCGTTCAAAGCCTACTTATTTAAAGCGGGCGAATTTTTATATACTCTATATCTCTTCCTAAGAGGAATCGAGCAAAATATCAAGTGTGTTATATTTTTGGAAAGGTAATTTTAAATTATTTTTAATAAATTAAAAATATACAGAGTGTCCCATATAAAAAATCAAATTCTCTGTTGATAATTCTTAAACTATTAATTTTAAAAAAATTATACTTAAACCATTAAATTCTACGTAAAAAGGTGCTTTGGATATGTTTTCATAAAAATACAAAATTTTCCATAGCAAAAAAGTTACAGCGATTTGTTAAAAATGCATATTTTTGAAAAACACCCCGTAACTCCGAAACGGTAACAGATATCGATATGCGGTTTTAACCTTCATGTATTAGACAAAAATTGAGCTCCAGACACAGATATTAGTTTTTGTCTATCTCCTATAGAAAAGGGTGTTTCCATTTAAAAGCGTCGAATTTGACCCACCCTGTACAGACCATCGGCATCGTAAGTAAATGCCTAATATAGTTTTCATTTTAGGACAGGTCTTGTATTTTTAATATTTTTTCTTAGATAGGCTGAAAAATATGTATTTTTAATATATTTATTAATATTTATTAAACTATCAAAATATATTTACTTATATCTTATGATTATACAAAGTGATCTGAAAGGAAGCCAAAAATGAAATAATATACGGGTGTTCCATTTTAAAAAAAATCCCGATCCACTCGCACTTTTTGACCCACCCTGTAGAAGTTAAAATATCAATACCTTCTAGTACATACTTTAGGTTTGCACTTAACCCTCAACTGGTGTGGTGGGGTACAGCGGACCCCAAGCACTATTTAAACTTCTGTAAAATGTTTACGTTTAAGAATTATTAGGCCTCACCGCGCCATTTACCTTTAAGTTAGGGTACCAATATGGGTACCAACTGTTAAAGGCGCACTTGATTTTATCAAGTATTGTTCCTACTAGCGGGGGCTAAAGTTTCATTGGGGTCTGTGTGGTACCACCACGCCAAGAATGTTACATTATTAGGATGGTGGGTAGTCTAACAAGTGTGCCTCACTGGGACGCTAATTTTGAGGAAGCATTAATTGAGTGGTTTGATGAACTTAAAGAGGCTTAAGTGAGATGAAGACCATCGAGACATTGATTTTTCTCCGAAGAGTAACCATAACTCCGATTCCGAATCTCTTACTTATAGAAGAGAGAAAATTGAATAATCACCAGAAAAGAAAGAGATGTGGTATATGGCAACCATATGTCAATGAAGAAATGACAAAAAACAAAAATCTTATGAATTAAATGTGCACGATCTATGTGCGGCAGACGATAAATGCAGATCCTGTATTAGCATGAACTGTATTTGAAAAAGTTATGTACATTCAAGGTTTGCAGTTTTGTTGAAAATAATTTATGTTTATTACTTTAGCTTCACATTTCAGTTGTTTGTAAGTTTAATAATACGGTAAAATCATAAAATATATATGTTTTTAATCTCTATGGGTTGTTGGTATGAAGTTTGAAAAACTTGAAAAGAATCCATCTAGATGGAAAGGAAATACTGCCATCACAGGAAGTGAAATATCTGGGAATAACCCTGGATAGTAAACTTCTCTGGAACAGCATATTAAGAACATTGCCAGCAAAGCCACAAAGGCTCTCATGATATGCAGAAGACTGGCGGGAAATAGGTTAACATTTTGCGCGGGATGTATACCATGATAGTAAGACCCATGATTACTTATGGAGCAGTTGCTTGGTATACAAAACTAGAGCAACGTACAGCAAGGCAAAACCTGTGCAAAGTACAGAGACTGGCATGTATCTGCATCACAGGTGCCATGAGAACATGTCCAACAGCAGCAATGGAGGTCATTCTAGACCTAACACCACTGCACATCTCGTCGGTAGTTATGCAAATGCGACAATGATTAGAATGGTTACTGACGGAAACAGTACTGGGAGAATTTTCAGGTCAGGGGCTTGGAACACCCTCAAAAAGAAAATTCTACTTCTCCAACTCCCAGTGGATGACATACCAAGAATTTACAACTTTGAGAAACACCTCACTGTAGTATTGAGTAATAAAAAGGATTGGAAGAAAGAAACGCTTACTCAGCATATAAAAGACCATACCATCACGTGGTATACTGATGCTTCCAAAACCAAAGCAGGGACAGGGATAGGAGTATTTGGGCCGAAAACTGAATACTCCGAATCAATGGGCACCAACCCCCGTATCCTTCAGGCAGAAATTTGCGCTATCGAAAGATGCGTACAATTTATCTTAGATAGGAACTCTCGAAAACAGGAAATTACCATCCTATCCGATAGTCAAGCAGCACTTAACGCGATCAACTCAGTAACCATCAATTCGAAGTTGGTCAAAGAATAAGAAAAAGAAAATAAAGTCCTCCTACTCTGGGTGCCTGCTCACCAAGGGATAGAAGGCAATGAAAAAGCAAATGATCTAGCTAGAAAAGGAGCGAACACTCCACTAACTGGACTAGAACCGTTCTGTTTTCCAAACGGGAACCAACTGAAAGCGGAACTGAAGAATCTGGAAGACTCCATCCGTAACTTGGAATGGGTGTCCTCCAACGGTCTAAGACACTCGAAAAAGTGCCTCAGAACTTATGACCGAGAAAAATCAAAGGTTTTCCTTGATTTAAGTAAAAACAATCTTCGGATTGTCACGGGGTTTCTAACAGGACACTGTCTCCTCAACGAACACCTCAGTGAACGACTGAAACTGAGAAACAATGGCGAATACAGATTTTGTGGGGAAAATGGAGAAACACCAGAACACCTTATCACTGAGTGCGCTGAGACGACGACCATTCGTGCCATGAACCTTGGTACGTCTGATGTCGAGGATGGAGAGCTGGCCTCTGTGGAGCCGTGTCAGATACTGGCTTTTCTTAAAGCCCTGAGACTGTATGATGAGTTATAACTCATTATAACTCAAGAAAGGGGAACACACAATAGATCTATAAGGTCGCGATGATTAACTCCCCTCCTAAACATTCTACATTCTACAATCTCTATGGGTTTCTTAGCCAAGTTATATTTCTGTTGTCAAAAATTCTTAAAAAATGCGTTTTACTTTATTTTTGTGTCCGTCCTTATTAATTTGTTGAAAATTAACGAAATTGTTTATTCACAAGTTTGAATATATTGTAAACAGTGTTAAAAAAACAAGCTTTTTATAAAATCTCTTCAAACTGAAAAAAAATTGGGGTCCGTCGGACTCCAGCACGCCATAAGTGTTACAAAAATTCACCACGCCAGTTGAGGGTTTTAGACAAAATTCACAAGTTTTTTTTTATTTTAGGAGCTACAGATACCCGACGCACTATTGCCGGACCCTGCAAAGATAGCTACTGGCTTAAATATAGTGAACACTCTGTACAAAAATTAGCCGCATTCTTTCCCACATTTCGCAAAGCTCTGAAATCATACTTACTGGAGAGAGCCCTATATGCGGTAAAC